GTAGCGCGCATTTTCGTGGGCGTGGAGCGGTGAATTAAAACGGGAAAATTAAGGACGATTGACACTGAACTGCCGCACGTCAGGTCACGGCGGCCATTGCGCGTCCCGAGGCACATGCACGCCGCCACATGAAACAGCGCCATCCCACTTCGCTTTTCTACACAGTGTCCTAGCAGTACTTTTTGTGTTTTTACTATTGTTAAATGATATTTCATTGATCTTAAATATATTTCATTATTTTATATATATCATGTAAAATATTTATAATAAATTTAATATTTAAAATATTTAAAATTCATATTATTTCTATATAGAACGGAAGTTTGATATTACCGATTGAGATCCTAGGTTAGAAGAAATGGCGGGATATGAAATAAATCAAATATGGTATAATTTTCAGGTAATATAATTTTAATTATTAATAATAAGTATTTTTAGTATTATTAATAAGTATTATTAATAATCTTATATTATTTGAAATTGTTTTGATATTTTGTAATTAGTAAGTATTTTGTAATTAACTACAGTTAATATTTAAATAATGTTTAAGAAAGAGATAATTTGAAATTTAAAAAAGATTTTTGAAAAATCATTTTCGGATAATGATTAAAAAATATTCGAATAACTAATATCCATCCTAAAACTTCTTTTGAAATAAAAAAGTTTTATTTTGTGACAAATTAATATAAATAATGAATAATTATCCAATATTATTTTTGTAGTATATTTTTATATAAATTGCATAAAATAAGTGACTTTAATTGCAAGACACCCAATATATAAGTTGATTCGATAAGAATCCATTGCGTTGAAAGCACAGTGTGTTGTGCTAGCATGGTGCCCGTTACTTTTCCATCGTGCTCACGTCATAGAAGCAAAGACTCGTTTCCCTTTTATAATCAGTTTTGAATCCATAGTTTGACCCATCTCATATACCAATTTATTTTTATATCGATGTGAAAAAATTTCAAATAACTTATTGTCAAAACTATCTTTTTAGATAATTTATGTTTAATCATAACAATTTTTTAAATAATGTATAAAAATATATATCTGCTATTCAATATAATTATTTTAAAAAAAGATATAGATTTTTCTAAATGTTTTATTATCTAATGAAAAAAATGTATACATACATACATACATATATATATATATAAGCAATAATATTAAAGAATAAAAATCTTTGAAACTGATATAAATATAATATTTTTTTATTATATAAGAGAGAAAACATTTTTAAATGCAATAAGTTTTGGAAAGTAAAGATTTTAAAATAATAATACTTTCACATTTTCTTAAATAACACAAAATATTAATTTTTTGTATGATTGTTGCTAAATTTGATAACATTAATAAATTGTTCTTTATTGTATAAGAATTGTTTTGCTAAATGATGAAAAAGAATGTATATTATTGTATATATATATTTTAAATTAAAAATTATTCTATTGAATATTTATTTGATGTGAAATGTTTATCATATATCAATATTTACTTCTTTTCATTTACTTTTCTTATTTTAAAATTTTTCTTAAAATTAATATTTTACTTATTTCACTTTTTTTTTGAATTGATTTCTTTTATGTAAATATTCAATTCATACCTATTGCAGATATAAACTATCTTTTTATAATATTTAAAAATTTTTGCTAGATTAATGTTTGAAAATATAATATAAAATAAATTTGGATATAATTTTGCATTGGATATAACTATTTATCTATTAAAATCTACTATTTTACTAAAAAGTAACACAAAGTAAATAACAAATATGGTATATCTCGTGACCTATTTAATTAAAAAAAAATGATATCAAGAAAGTCTTAAATGAATAATTTCATGCTTTATTTCATAAATGTTTTATCTCATATATACCTATGTATATATGTTTAAGATATAAATCAGATTTTTATATTTATTTAATATTTATATCGATACAATATATATCAGTTGCTTTGAAAACAATAGATATTTCTAAAAAAAATTTACATTAACAATTCTGTCGACAAAGCAAGGAAATCTAATGCATACATAATGAAAGATAATAAAAATCCAGTTTCTATAAAAGAAAGAGAGAAAGAGATAATAGTAAAAAATAAAAATTTGAGGTATAAGTATTAAAAGAAAATGTTGAAAATGTCAAAAAGAAGATTTAATTAATGTTGAATATAAAATATATTCAGCACATAACGATGTGCTTCCTGTGTGCTTCGATGTAATTGAACGGTACCGAGAAAATGGGGTTAAACATTAATGGTAATGTTACATTTTTCGGGTCACAACAAATGATCCATGTATATTATATTTTATTTCATGTTATATCCATTTATGCATAACATATATCTATCTCAAAAGAATACAATAGGCAATTTTTATTCAAATAAAACTACGTAAAATAATTTTTTAAAAATAAAAATATGACAATTTATAAACTATATTTTTATTGTAAGAAAATTAATATAATACTATAATATAATACTATTGAAAATTAATATAATACTACGTTTATTATCGGTTTATTCTCGTTTCTATATTATATATTCATATTTTTTTTTTTATTATTATTACTATTTAATCACAATTATTTATGTCAATGGCTCACACATTTACTATAAAACCACATGTTCGATTAGAAAAAACATGGAGCATTAATATTCTTGTCACCATTTTTGTACCGTATGACGATTAAAATTATTTTCAGTGACTGCAATACGGGACTGTGACCCATATTATTGGAAATAATAATAATATATTTTCGTTAGATAATAATTATTAACTCATGATAATAAATTTATTCATTTCTTTTTTTAATGAAATATTTATTCGAATTTTTGTAACGTGTAATAGAAATTTTCATAATATGTTTTTTGGAATAATAACAATAAATATATGTGAATATAATATAATATATAATATGTATTCATTAAAAAAAATAATTTGTTATAGTGTATATCTATAGAAAATATCTATAGAAAATAATTTACATAAATAATTAATCTTACATAAATAATTACTAATACATCTATACGTATAATTGAATATGAAGAAAAAAATAATATTTTATATTATAAATATATATTATACATTTATTATTAAAAATATGAATTAATTTTTTATTAATTTTCAATTTTCTATTAATTAATAAATAATAATTATTAATTTTACAATTTATAATTTGTAAACTATAAATTGAATTAGAAATTAATTAGAATTAGAATTTATTTTTATAATTTATAATTGAATAATAATATATAAAATATATTCATTTAATTTTTCTAATTTTTTGATAAATTTATTATTTATAATTTCAATTTTTTAATATATAATATCATAAATTAAATTATGATTAAAATAATTTATTATTTAAGCAAATTTTTTTAAGCAACTTTTCTCTTATCATATAGATTCCGAAGAAAATATAATACTTGCAATACTTTGTCATTCTTGAGATATCTATGTATAAGTGAAAGAAATAATAACATAAGTAAGTATGTAGATATATTGTAAGCAGATAAGCAGATCAATGATCTCCTATATAATATTTTCATTCACAATATCAAAAAGAATCTAATAGATAAAAAAATACCACAAAAAATTATAGAGTACCAAACTAACATAAAACATTTGTAAATTTTACGTAAAATATTAATAAAACTATAAAGTAATATGGTTTATATAAAAATAATAAAAAAGCACAAATATTTTTTTCATATGTTAACAAATTTTCCATACAAGAGTAATTATTTTTGATTACTATGATTATATTATAAACCATGATTTACAAATTTAGATAAAAGAGAACTGATTATATATATGTTTACAGTATATGTTTACACATATAGATTTCAATAGAAATGAATAAAATTATTGAATCAGAAAGTATATTAAAAAAATGTTCGTTTCCTTAAAAAAAATTGATTAAATATATATTGTTCCTTCCTTTTTTATTCTTCCAATTCCAATTGACCATCAAATTTTTCATGAAGCATTTCTGCTATTATTATATTATTATATGAACAAGTCTTTTGCACGAAATTTTTTCATGTTATCATGCAAACGTTCATGAACTTTATGCAAAACGTATATCATTAACACATTATATATATATCGTATGTTCTATCACAAAGAAATTCTTTTTTGTGCTCTCTTGAAAGTCACATCGGGAGTATGTAATCAAGATATTGTCAAATATTTGCAGTTTCCATCATATTTATGTAATCATATATCGTATATTTTTCTGGCAAAAAAATAAATAGATTGGAGACCAAGACTTTGTTTTTTTAATCCAAGTATACTTCCATTTTTGAAGGGATAATTTTATCTGATTATTAACTGATATATGTAAAAGAGAGAATATAGCAGGAATGATGATATTTAACATTATAATCCCTTAAACTTCAACTTCTATTTTCTTTTATTATATGTTTATATACGGTTATATGCAGTTATATACAAGCGTGTTCTTCAATCAAGAAAAAATTTTTATTTTGAATCCTATAAAACTATGTGTTATTATTAAAATTCTAATTGAAATGAAAGAATATTTAAAAAAACTGATTATAATTTTTTAAAATGTATGTTATATAATTAAAAAACAAAATCTTAGATTCCAATTTATTATTTTTTTTATACTTTGCCCTATATTCTAATCATATATCATTAAATAAAATACTATATAAATATGATTGATATTGTAAAATCTAATCAATTTTATGAAACCCTCGACCTCGATTCGGCATATATTTTTATACAAACTTTATCTTATTTATCTTCAACTAGAATTTTACTTAAATTTAATCATAAAACATTCTTTTGCAATTGATATTTTATTTTGTTTCATTTGTTTCACTTATGAAAATTTACGAAATATCCACGTTCTTTAATATGAAAATAGTTTTGAATACAAATAACATTATTAATTATCAAAATTCGAAAAATAATCATTAAGTCATTATTTTCTTTTCCTAAAATTTGTCAATATACTAGATTTCCTTAAGTTATTCATCTCGAACATTTATTCACAGATGAAATATTAACGAGGGGAAACATTGTTCTCCGGATGTAAGCATAGCGTTTGTCTCGCGCGCATTTCCAGCGAAGCACGAAAGAAAAATTTCAGGGGGGCGATGCGCGATAAGTAGTACAAATTTGTCATGGCGGTAGAGAATCGCGGTAAAAAATTTACATGTTAAAATATTAGCTTAGAGTACAACGTTTGTGATATCTTTGCAAGCGGCGCAAAACGTCTAGCTGACAGAGAGATCACGGGGTACAGATTGTTTACCCAACGACAAGTAATATGAGTATAAAGGGACAGTCGGATCGTGCAACTCGATTATTTCGTTAAAATATCTCGGAATGTTACTGCGTGCGTTATGGTTCATTGGCGTGTTCATTGTTTCCATCGTTCTCGAGTTCTTCACCCTTGGCTCGCCTGTCATCGATACATCAGTTACTTCGAAAGAACAGAAAGTCTTCCTCGATTGCCAACACAGTGATTATAGAACCTACATACAATGTCTCAAGAGACAAAAGAGGCATCATTTCGATCATGGAGAAATACATGCAGGATACGGTTAGATCAAACTAAACATATATAGATTTCCTTTTCAAAAGGATGAAATGAAAAAATTGATTGAAAAATCGATGGAAATGAAATTTAATTGTGAGAATAATTAATTAACGAAACAGTGATCAATTTATTTTACGAATCTTTTTTTTCTTTTTATTTATTCTTATTTTCATTTGATTTGGATAAAAGAGAAATACAGAAGAATCAATAATAAAAGTGATAATTTTAAGTGGTTACAAATTCAATGAAAAAAATGAATTAAAATTGTTTAAATTATTATCTTAAGAATATATAATAGTTTTTACTGTGTTTTATATAAATTTTTTTAAACATTTTTGATCACTTCAATTTATTTTTCATCCATAAATGGTTAAGCAAAAAAAGATTAATTTTATTAAATCTTTTATTTTGATGCTACTTATAATTTAATTTGAATTGAAGTTTTTATTTTTTTATTCAGATATCTTCTTAATAGATTTTTTCGTATTATTTAAAACTTTTTCTTCGAAATTAATTAAAATTAATGAACATTAATATATATTAAAATTTTATTTAGATCATGAATGTATAGAATCATGTTTGAAAAAATGTGATTTCGATTGCGACATAATATGTAAGCACTGTATAAGAAAAGCAAAGCATAAACACCAAATAATTACAGAATATGAAACTGAATGTGTTTCTGACAAATGCACAGAAAAGAAGAAGGAAGAGTTACCAAATGCCAATATTACCACTAACATTAATATTCATAACATTGTTAATGGAACGGAACGTCTATCATGTTGTGATAAAAGTAAAAGATTCTTTTACGCATTTAATTTGAAATAAATAATATATTATTAAATATATAATTAATATATCTTTTATCGAATCTAGAGTCAGAAACTGTGTGTCCACCAACAACTACATGCCCACAATCCCCGCCTAACATTCCTAATGATATTCATAAAATTAACGAAAGTCTACTATGTTGTTGTAAGTAAAGAATCATTCTTTTATGCACTTAATTTGAAATAAATAATATATTATTAAATATAATTAATATAAATATCTTTTATCAAATGTAGATTCAAGAACTTCGTGTTCACCAACAACTGTGTGTCCGCCTCTATTTTTTCCGCCTCTATCACCTCCACCTCTATCACCTCCCCCTCTATCACCTCCACTTGCATTACCTCCACCTCTATTACCTCCGCCTCTAACACCTCCGCTCACACCACCATCTCCGCCTCTATCAATATGTCCTCCACAAACATGTTACCCTTATAATTTTATGTATGGTCAAAGCAATTTTGGATGTCAATATTGGAATTTATATCCTTGCATTCAAGTAAGTCTAATTAAAATATTTTTATGATAATTTAATATATATAAAATTCATCATTAAAAGAATTGATAAAAAATTTATCTCATTGTTATAATATAAAATTTATTATTTCATTGTTATAATATAAAAAATTATATTTGTTATAAGAGATTTTTATTCCTGGAAGTACTTAATTAATTTATTTTGTGAATTGATATCAGTGTTAATTAAATTATTTACTTATTCTAAAAGAAAAATTTATATATATATTTTTTTTAATTCTTTCATTTGTTAGCCTTGGTCAAATCCAGTAGAACCAATTGATTGTTCCGGTTGTGGTTATAATTATAGGTGTCATGCTTATTGCTATTATACAACATATAATACAATCAAATCTTCTCAAAGTTGTAAAAGTCCATATTGCGTGGGTGGTAAGTTGATTAAATAATACAAATTATAATATGATTAATTTTGATAATAATGCAAAATTTATATTATATATATTAATTTATGAAAATATTCTAAACATATATTAAATTAATTTTTCCAATAAAAATAAGAAAAGAAGAAAAATTTAGAAAATAATAAAATAAATCTAATAAAAAAAAATAAAAAAATCAGTACTTACATTTTTTATGTTTTGAACAATTACATTTGTGATTGTTGTGAATTATTTGAAACTATTTGCATTAAATTAGTTATTATGTTTGTACTATGTACAAGTTATGATTATATAAGGTTATGATTAACATATGCTAATCGATATTGAAAATTATAATAATATTGATTATCTTATTTTTTTATTTACATTATATTAATATTCATTTAATTTAAAAAATATATAAGGCTATTTTTAAATATAATTAAAAAAAATTTAAATACAATAATGTATTACATATCAAATACAATCATCATTTAGCTATTAAATAATATGAGAGTAAGAAATTTATATAATAATAATTATATAATAATATATAATTTTTACATGGTAGTTAAAATGTTTATATTCAGTATTGATATAATATAATATTTGTAATAATAAACATTTTTATTTTCAGGTACTTATGGACAATGAATACTACAGAAATTAAACATTTTATATACAAAGGTGTAAGGGTTATCTTAGATAAAATAAAAATATTAGATCCAAAATGTATTATCATTAATTTATATTGTTACAATTCATAATTAGAAAATTATTATATATATTATAAAAATTGTATGATTAAATTTATAAAAAAAAATATCTCTGGATATACAGTAATAAAATTATATATTAAATTAAATTTATTTCTCTTCTATTATTTTTAAATAAATGTATATGAAACATAAAAATAAAATAATATTTATAATTAACAGTTAACATCTTAAAGCTACGATCTTGGGTTTCGATTGGATTTTGATTCTTAAAATGTGTCCCGTTTTCGAAAACTGAGAAAAGATTGTTATGTCTCTTGTCAATTGGTATTATCAATAAAATAATTAATTTACGAATCGAATTATAAAATATCAAGTTGTTTTATCGAGTAAGAAACCATTCTGATTCTGCCTCTTTTTTTTCCTAATCAGAAACAGAGAATAAATTATAGAATCAATGATTTGGTTTGCATCGCTGTATCATATGATGGACGATAAATGACCTATGATCCAAACGGTAAAACATATTAGCATCAAGACCAATTTTTTCAGAATAATTTTTTCTTCGAGAAGGACAATTGATGATGGCCTCCTTTGTCGAGCTAGTGATCCCCTGCGGAGAAGCGAGGCTTAACGTGTCAGGTGTCGGGAACAGGTGTTGGAGACGCGGTGGCCGTGGCGGTGTTCCCTTCAGGTGCACCGTGGCGAAACATGCTGCTATTACGGTTTACGATGGGGGTTAAGAAAACCGGCGGAATTGTTTCTTACGTTTAAGGGCGCAGGTGAAATGAAACGCGTGCGATTCCGCCACAGATACGTACATTGCATCTCTATACATTGTGCACGAGATATCGTGACGCTTTACAATGATCGTGCATGAAATTTATTAATTTGATTCTTTTGTTTCAGCTATGAATATCATCATCGATTTTTGTAATAGGATCTTACGAGAATTCAATTATAGACGATTTTTTGTTCCTCGATTCCAATCATATCGATACTTCATAAATTGGAAAAATAGATATTGTGACATGATTTTGATTGATTATGATAAATCGAATCGACAAACAATTGTCTGATTTTATGGATGATTTAAATGTGGTACGTGTTGACTCGTTGTACGTGGAAAATGTTTGTTAATCGTTGTATGCAACTGTTTTGTTACTACATTTTTGCACTAGAAGCGCGTATTCTATTTTGAAAATTAAATATAATCAAAATGATTTCAGATTGAATTTGAATTAAATTCCTTTATAAGGATGAAAAAATCTCGATTTTAAATTGATCAATAAAATTGTTAAACAATGGAGAGAAATCGTGTTGTATTATTTACTTAAGAAGACTCAAGAAGATTTCTAATTTCACTGTTCGATTGAAAATATCTCATAGACACGAATCTATTATAAGTTTCGCAATACGTTGGATAATGTTGGATAATAGCGAAAGTGGTCGCAACATCTCGCCGTGGGAATGGCAGCTTGTTTCTCCTACTCGTGCATCCATTCGAACCACAGACAGATTCTTTTCTAAGCAGAAGATATTAGAAGAAGTATTCCGACGTCGTCGCTTGGCGAAGGTTCGCGACCGCAATATTTTACTAGGGTTCTAAGAAACCTATTGCATTCACGAGATTTTTCACCCCATGTTTCCCTTTGTCTTTATTTTTCAGAATATTTTTATCTCTTCTTGATAATTTTCTTTTGTTGCTCATTGACTTTGTGCATTAATCAATACTGGATATATTTCAAGCAAAAATTAATTGAATATAATTGGATATAATTAAATAATAAAATAATTTTTTATCATAAATGCAATTTTTGAAGATTTTTCTTTAAAATAATCGAATAAGTTAAAAGAAAAGATTTTTAAAAATATTGAAAATATAATAATAAATCTTATAATTATGAAACAATAATAAAATAAATTATAATGAATAATATACATTCAAGTTAAATATTTTATTTATAATCTTTGTAATATATATACACGTTATGTATACTACATACAACAATGCTATCTAAGAATGCATACAATAGAAAGTATCGTGTTCGAAAGTGGAGTTATAGTACCTATCTATCTGCAAAGTGATAGATACCGGTCCCAAGATACTTTACACAAACAGATACTAACATTATATCGTATATATAATCGTATTGTTGAAGAAGACAACTGGTTTGAGAAAGGTTTCATCAGCCATGCGAATTCTTTAGACGATAAGCTATTTTATTTGCTCCTCGGGATGCTGGACAACGTGAATCGCGCGTCTTCTCCACGAACAATAAAATTTACTGTGGAATACCGCCGCTCCGCGAACGAGAGGTCCTTTCTTCCTGTCGAGGAATCATTTCACGCGACGTGCACTTGATCCCGGGATAAGGATCTTAGTAAGAAAAGGAGGAAAAAATATACGAAGAAAGATTGTAAAGCTTTTGTGGTCCAAGAAAATGGAGAATAGTAAATCTGACTGAGGTAATATTTATTTTTCGTTTCATGCTAATAATATTAATAATAAAATTGGCAATACATAAATAATCGTAAACTAAGTTTTTTAAAATCAAATGGAATAAAGAAAATGTTAATAACTTAATTTTATTATAAATATATAATAATTATATTAAAATAAAAATAAAAAGTAATATGTTTATTAATTTTAAATATGTATAAAAACATGATAAAATTGATTAGGATATTTAATATTGATTTCAAATTTGAATATTACAAAAATATTCTTACAAATGATGAGAAAAATTTTGTATAAATTAAAGAGTTAAATTTCGATTTTCGAATAATTATGCATTTACTATTATAATATTCATTTAACTTCATAGAAAGTATACGTATAACTTTTTTTTATTAGAAATAATTGTAAGTAATCTTTCAATCCTGTTTAAATTCTGGTAAAAAAATATAGAATCTTAATGAAATCCTTCTTCATTAATAACGATTGCAAAATTCTCATCAATAATGTTATGGTAATTCTAAATGAGATATAAGATAAATTTTTTATTGTTAGATATTATTGCAACACCATCAGTGAATTTAGGGACGTTTAATCTTGTAGAAAATCGATGTGGAATCGAATTTTTCGATTAGGGACGATTACGACACCCTTGAGAATAATGTTAATGATTTGAAAGAGGAAGTGCCCATCCCATAGATTACAGTGTTGCACATAGATGCTTATGCATGTCGAAAAAAATTTGCATCGAATGGCGGACCAGGCATGCCAATAATATCTATCGTAGAGCAATCTCTTTCAATCTTCCTACACTATTTTCCCCATCATCGTTACAAATTATGGAACGTTATCTAAATAGTATCGAGTGAGTGCACGGCCATGAAATTATTTGATGTTTAACCATAGTAGTTCTCTATTTCCTTAAAAATCGGTAGATAGATATTTCTTGATCCTCATTATTTCGCTCGAAATATGACATACCAATATTCTATTCATCTTTTACGTAATAATCAAATAATTAATCATTAGAATCATTCTTATAAATCCAAAATTTCAATTAAACAAAATTTATGCGACTATTTTTATCTATTCATCATACATATTACACGTACTATAAAATTCCAAATCAAAGTTAATCAAAAAAAAAAAAAAAAATAAAAGATCTTTCTTCCTTTAACTCTGCGCATCATAAGCGTATCCCGTATAATTGTATCTTAATCTCTCAGATAATTAAACCCAACGACGATCAAGGACAACTCTCTCGTTTCTACCCTCTCGATTATGTCGTATCGTTCAAGTTCAAACCAATCCTTATTCTAATCTACACCTGGCGCACGATCTAACTTCGTCGAGTTTATAGAGCAAACGACGCGACCATAGACCACCCACGGATCCCCGCCCAGCTGGCTTCTTCTTCCTCCAGCTCAAAACTCATCGAACGTCTGGATATATCCAACTTCCGCCATGTTGCGCGGTAACAGTACACCCCCCTTTGCCCTCAAGAAGAAACTGGACATTAAATTTTCACGGTTCAGTGCCATCGAACGCGAGTCCTTTTCGAGAGCTAGTGCCCACGTCTACGTGGTCCCCAGGGGAGGCCTTGGGGGCCCTCGAAGACGCCGCATATGGCACACGTCCGCGGAGGTCCCAATTAAATAAGCTACTCGTGTGTACTCCTAATATACTCACGCTATACGCGTGCATGTACCACACCTCTAGCCTGTTTTCTCTTCCGGTTGTCGCCTCTTGCAACGTGCAGCGGCCGAAAAATGTACCGCGCCGTTGCACAATGGCGTCTTCCGTTTCGAGGGGGTCTCCGCTTCGAAGCTTCATAGGAGTACAATAGCTTCTGAAGGAGTTTAATAACGTTTCCTTTATGCAACATTCGAGTTCAAAGGATGGAAATAATGCTTGAGAATTGTGCAGATGGAACGAACGAGAGGATTGGAAGTTGGAGATTGGCTTTGGAAGAATGGAAAAAAAGGTTGAGATATATTTTTTATACATACCTTGAGATAACGATGTTTCTTTTTCTTCTTACAGGTAATTACTATTATAAAAATTTGTCTATCTATTTCAAAAGATTTTTTTTTTTCCGCAATAAGATATGTTCCGTAAATCATTATCCTGCTTCCTCTCTTTCATTAGGCTTCAATAAATTATTACAAAAGTATTAACTAAATAATTCATTATATCTGAATAGGTACCGTTTAATACTGCTTTAACTTCAATATCAATTCACCGTTACTGGTAAAATTTGTTCGGTCGAACGTGAATAAATAGAACTGGAGGATAATTCAGTTTTAGAAGACAGGAAGTCAAAGTCAATCGTTAACGTGTTCCATAAGGCGCCCGAAGCAAGTCGAGAGTCGAGACGACGTTCAATCGTTAACTTAGGAAATTTCGGTTATAAAAAGGGTAGAAGGAGAGCGTGATATTGCTGCGAGGTATACGTTCTGTAATCTTATAAAAGTTAATAT